TATTTTTTCTCGCATCTCTGTTCATTGATTTTAAAAGCAAGGGCATAAGGTGGCAAGATTACCTGCCTAGCAAACATGAGGCTCTGAGTTCAAACTCTAGTGCCGCCAAAAAAAAAAAAAAAAGGTAAAAGCAGGATGCCAGTAGCTCATGCCTATAATCCTAGCTACTCAGGAGGCAGAAATGAGGATGACTGTGGTTCAAAGCCAGCCCCAGTAAACAGTTCATGAAACCCTATATCAAAACAAACCCTTCTCAAAAAAGGACTGGTGGAGTGGCTCAAGGTATAGGCCCTGAATTCAAACCCCAGTACTGCAAAAAAATAAAATATAGATAAAACGTACTGCTGAGTCTATAACATATGGAAATATATGAACATAAGTACCATAACAACACAAAAGAGGTGAATGGAAATAAAACTATTACAGGCTAAGGAAAGTGACAGATGGTAAATAATTATAACAGTACTTTGTTGTAACACTAATAGACATAAATGCATGTAACAATAATACTAGGAAAAAAGGATAAAAGGGAATAGAGCCATGTAGGAGTAACATTTCTACATATTCATGGAATTAAGCTAGTATAAGTCTAAAGCTGATTTTGATAAGATGGCTACTAAAAATACTCTAGAAACAGTGAAAAATCATTAATGAAATTAAAATGCTACATTAGAATTTAATCAATGCAAAACAAAGTAATAGCCAGATACTGATGGCCCCTACCTGTAATCCTAGCTACTTGGGAGGCTGAGATCAGGAGGATTGTGGCTCAACGCCAGCCTAGACAAATAGTTTGCAAGACTCCAACTCCAAAATAACCAGAGTAAAAAGGACAGAAGGTGTGGCTCAAGCAGTAGTGCACCTGCTTTGCAAGTGCAAAGCCCTGAGTCCAATCAAAAATGAAACAAAACAAGCAATAAAGGAAGAACAGAGGAAAAAAGAAACAAGACATAAAAAAAAAACCCTAAAAAATGGCAGAAATAAATCCAATTACATAAAAAATAACATTAAACATGAGTGGATAAAGAGGCCAATCAAAAGGCAACAATTACAAGACTGGATTTTTAAAAGCATTGTCTAATTGTATATCTGTAGGACACACATTGTAGATTCAAAGATGTAAGCAGATTAAAGTAAAAGAATGGAATAAGAATGTAGAATGCTTTGGCCACTTTGAAAAATAGTCTGACAGTTCCTCAAATGATTAAACTTAGTGACCATGTGATCCAGCAGTTCTCCTGGAAGATACCAAAAAAGAAACAAAAAATATTTCCATACAGAAATGTGTGGAATATTTATAGCAGCATTATTCATAAGAGCTCAAAGGTAAAAACAACCAAATGTCCACCAATGTACAAATGCACAAACAAATGTGCCACATCCATATAAGGGAATATTATTTAGCTGTAAAAAGAAAGGAAGTACTGATACATGCCATGACATGGATGAACTGTGAGGTTTTATTTTTGTTTTTGGTGGCACTGGGGTTTTGAACTTATGCTTGCTAGGCAGGTGCTCTACTACTTGAGTCATTCTACCAGACCCTCATTGATGAACCTTGAAAACAGGCTGTCAAAGAAGGCAGTCACAAAAGAGCACATAGTGTATGATTTCATTTATATGAATATGGAAATCTACAGAGAAAGTAGATTCCTGGTTACCTGTGGCAGTGAGGAAGGGTGGGTGAGAACTAGAGCAGATAATAGCTAACTAGCAGGATTTTTCTCTTCTTCTTCTTTTTGCAGCGCAGGGGGTGAAACTAGGGCCTTGCACATGCTAAGCAAGTGCTCCACCAATGGGCTACATTCCCAGTCCAGCAAGAGTTGAGATGATGAAAATGCTCTAAAATTGACTATGGTCAGAGATGCACGTCTCTGAATATACTAAGAAACACTGATTGTACTTTTTAAGTGGGTGAACTGTCTAGCATGTAAATGATATCTCAATAAAGCTATCTGAATTTTTTTCAAAACACATTTCTGCTGAAGGAATTGTTTAATGTGTCAAATGTTTGTTAAATGTATGCCAAGCGCCAAGCACTGGGTCAGGAATGATCAACTGAGTATCATTCCCTTTCCAGGGATCTACACCTGCTTAAATGATTTTGTCCAGTTTCTGGATTGTGTCTGGCCAAAGAGGAAGCTTCATTAGGAACCCTACTCCAACCAGCAAATGAGACATGTAATTATTCTTGTCCTACCCCACAATATTACCTGCCTATGACTTTCCCACCTTGCAGATGCACATACATGGAAATCCCCATTTTTATATGGAATCCTATAAACCTTACAGAAACTGGCACTCTTACCCAAACCTCAGCTTCCCTAGAAGGTGAGGAAATTGGCATCCTCCTCATGCCAATTTCAGGGTATAGCTCTTATTCTTCCAAGTGGTGAACGAGGACAACGATAAATAGTACTTCTAGGACCTGTACTGAGATTACCAACTAAACCTGAGACAGCCTAGCAATCCTATGGGCCTATCATAATGAGCACCTCATAATTCCAAAGTATAAACACCCTACTCCCTTTCAGAACTCATTTCTTTACATGCAGATTCCTGCACCACTGTGCCTACTGTTCCCCATTCTGCCTGGCATAGCCTTCACACTCACCTTTCACATTCTACTTCCTCTGTAAAGCACAGAAGAACTAGTAGCCTCTGTCTCTGGGCTGTAGACTGATAGCTAAGAACATAAGCTCTGGAATCAGTCCATCTGAATTCAAACTTCAAGTCTACCACTTACTGTACTACCTTGGTAAGTGTCACAACCACTCTGCCTTGACTTCCCCATCTACAGAGAGGAAGTAATACTTCCCAGGGCTGAATGATGAACACTATGTGTTCAGAACAGGATGAGCTCTCTGCTACTATCTCTATCTCATCTATCTGTTGATATAATATTTGTTTGCAATGCATCATTCCCTCCCAGTCCCTGCTTGAAGGCATGAAGTTTCTTATTTCTTTTCAAATTCATAATCTATAATATAGTGCTAGGCACAGGATAGGCATTATTAAGGACCTTAAAACTATTAGCCCAGCATGTTAAAGATTATGGAAATCATACTTTCAGAACAAAATTCAGAGCATATTGTTCATGGATCTACTAGAATTGAAGAACTGAAGTCAGACTTGCCCTGGAAAATCCAGGCTGTCTGACTGCCTGAACTATTCAGAAACAATCTAAATACTTGACAGTTAGAGTGGTTACATAAACTATAGCAATTCAACACAGGGGATTTCACACAACCATAACAGGAGGTCTGTGCTGATCCTTGAAAAAATCCGGGTGCAACAGGCCTTCAGCAGAAAAACAAAGCAGAGAGTCTGTACAGAAGATGGCAAAGCTATTCAAAGAGCAATAATCAGACAGAATGGACACGTGTACCTAATACTATACTGTGGAAGAATCTTCACATTCTTTTAATTAATTCTAATGCTAAAGGCAACTTAACAAAACAAAACATAAAAATCATAAGAAAGCTTCTAATGCCTTTACCTAAGACACAGGATCACTGGCATTGATTCCAAAACCTTCTCTCTCTAAAATAAGACACAGTAAGAAGACTTGAGATTCTGCAGTACTGCAATTCTCAGAAAAGGTCAGTTTGCTTATAGGAAAAAAAGCCCACAAACTTTTGTTATGGTCAATTCTCTTATTTCGTAAGTAGACTTTTAACAGTCATTTGCTTTTGTTTCTGTGTAAGACAATCATTAGTTTAATTAACTATTCAAGATTCTCATTTGTAACAATTAAAACCTGAAATCTCAGGCTGGAGGCATTGCTCTCAAATGGCAGGGCACTTGCCTAGCAAGCATGAGGCCCTGAGTTCAAGCCCCAGTACTGCCCCCCAAAAATCATAACAAATTAAAAAAAAAAAAAAAACCTCTCAAGTGGTAGAACCTAGCAAGCCCAAGGCTCTGAGTGCAATCCCCATACCACCAAAATAATATAAATAAATAAAATAAAAACTAAAATACATACAAATCACACAAAGAACCCATCTTCAATGAATTTTTTGCTTGTTTTTCCCCCAAGATTAGAGCTCAGCTCAGAGAAAGACAAAGAACAGGAAAAGAATACCATACTTGCCCAAGCATGGAGCATATGTTAGCTTGTTTACATCTCCTTACTTTATACTATATATACTCATACATGTATATACATGTAAGTACAAAACATATATGAACTAAAAAAATACATATTTAATATGAACATAAAGAAACAAACACACAGCAGAAAAAAAATAGATCATGAAACAACCTTTTCTGTGAGTGAGTCAATAAGATGACATGAACAACAGCATCTTCAAACAGCCCAGGTGATAAATGATGGCTACTCTAAGTTCATGCTAACAAAATAAACATTCAACTACCTCAGCACTTCCATCCTTTTCTCCGTCAACATTCTTAGATTATTACAAGAAAAGCAAAGAAACGCATCATCCCTGAATATAATTCTATTCAATGAGAACAAAAATTTCCTTTAAAACACAGATGAAGAGACTAAACACAATTAATTTTTTAATCAGAATTTCTCTTCACCCCCTTCTTTTGCCTAAGAAGCAATTTGTCAAGGCATACAGTTTAAATCATTAACTACTTGGTGCCAAATCATTAGCATAGTTGGCATGTAAATTTCATGAAGGCACTTTTAAGTGTTTTACACAACACCCAGTACAAAACAGCTTATTAAACATGTATGATGACTAGTTAAAAAAAATAAAATGTCAAAACAAAAGTCTTTGTTATTCAACTTGGCTGCCCTGTCCAATATAAACCACTGATCAGTATCTGTTTCTCCAAGTGCAATGATAAGAAATTGAAAAACAAGCCCCATTGGAATTAGAAACTTTTATCCTCTGTCCAAGAAAACTGTTTGATTTTTGTGTCAACAGAGCATACAACATGCAGGTTGCCATGATATTTATTCTAAGCATCATTTAAAAAGCAAAAAGCCCAATGCATTTCATACACATTTCTAGAGACATCTTCCTTACCTTTGCCATTTTGCCATGTAGTATACCAGGATAAAGTAAGGAAGGAGGTGATAAATGCTAAAGCAGTGGCTACAGTTCCATTCGGAGCCTCATCTCATTTCACCATCACACTGGTTCATATGTTAGTGACGACAACCAAGACTGTTTTCTTTTTAGCCTGAAGTCAACTGAATCCAGTACTTCTGGCTCTTGGCCAATAAAAATAATCAATGAGAGAGGTTCATTTCAGATGCTCGGCAGAAGGTGTCTAGCAGCTGTGATACCATTCACAATTGCTACTGGGATTGTCTTCGCAGTCTTTATATGCTGATGTTTCAAGCTTTTTCTTCCTATTCCAGGGGAAAAGAGAAAAAAAGGCTGTTCAATAATGCAAACCATAGGTTTCTTCATTTATTATTCACCATTATAAGCAGATTTTTGGCAGGGCTAAACTGTTATCTATAAAATCATCTCTACATCTGAACTACTCATTTAGCAAACTAATTATATGGTCTTTCCCCTCAAGGACAGAAGTTTCAAACTATTTTCCCTCCTCATTAATTTTGCTTAGTTTGTAAAAAGAAACTGATGGTTACTCATTTAAAGGGAGAAGTTGTGAAGCTCACAGATTCAAGATGAGATATCTAACTATCACACACCGGCCTCTGAGTAAAACACTTCACCTTCCCCAGTTTCCCTAATGCATGATAACAAACAATGTTAAAAATAAAAAAGTAAGAAAACTGACACAATATTTAAGGATCAAATGATCTGGATCCCACATCCAGTTCTGACATTACTAACATGACTCCCAGGAAGTCCCTTATCTAGATCTCCAAGTTTCATCTATAAAATGAGAAAACTAAGCCAGGCATAGTGGCTCACTCCTGTAATTCTAGCTACTCAGGAAACAGAGTTCAGGAGGATTGTGGTTCCAGGCCAGACTAGTTGAAAAGTTCTCAAAACCCCATCTCAACCAATAAAAAGATGGGCATGATAGTGTACACCTGTCATTCCAACACTCAGACGACTAAAACAGGAGGATTGTGAGTTCAAGGTCAGCCTGGGCTACTTAGCAGATTCAGTCCAGACTGGGCTAGACAGTAAGATTCTGTCTCAAAAGCAAATGAACAAAAAGAAGTGCTTAAGCATAGTGCCTAGCACATAACAGGCTCTCAATAACCGTTAACTGTATTAAAAAAAAAAAATCAGTCAAACAAATTAGCCAGCCACTGGTTCAGTTCACTCTGCAAAACTGGTCTCTTTCCCTAGCCAGGTCAGGCAATCTAACATGAGCATTGATTCCTAATGGTCTCAAGGGTACCACAAGATGTTCTTGGTGATATACTAAATGACACCCTAGTGGAGTAGTTAATGCACCTCCAAAAATGCCTAACAAACCCAAGGGACACTTCTCTCAGTGAAAAAGCATGGCTGATTAAACCAGCCATTTTCAGGGAATTCAAAAACTACCACATCAGCTACTTCTTACACTGAGTTGAGCATCACTAGAAATCTCCACTAGCAAAGACAGATCACAGTACTGCTAATGATGGCAGCCACTACAACTCACTGAATAGTTCCCATGTGCTGGGTCCATAATACAGTTCAACCTTCACAAAACCCTATGGGACAGGCATTATTAACACTATTTTACACAAGAGGAAACAAAACCAGAGAGAAAAACCTAGTTTGTGTAACACAGAAGTTCAAGTTTTATACCTTTTACCCCTTAAATTCAGCCACCTACAGATGTACCAGGGATACTCTGAGTTTTGGGTAAAACTGGGGAATTTCCTACAGTGTTAATTTTGCCCAACAATCAGTGTGAACTTTTTAATGTTTTATATTCTATAACAAGAATGGGTCTATTATGGGATAATTACAAAATTCACAGAAATTTTCAAAGTCTAAACATACAACTTTAAACAAATTTCTCACTTCCTGCAACTTTTGGGTAATTCCCCACCTTGGCCCCCAACAAAGCATGCCTGTTACTCTCTTTAGCCAGCAGCTCTAATTCCCATGTAACATTCTAAAAGCACTGAGCTCCACAATATTGCTTCCTCTTACCATCTGCACAAAAGGAGTTCCAAAGACTTCTCCCTTAAAGTTCTTATTGCTAAGACCAAATTTATTCACTGTTTATAGTTCAAATAACTTAATCTCACCGACAGTTTAGAATTAAGATTTTCATGTCATAAAAATTTACTGTAATTTTAAATCCCGTGCAATATCTGGTACAATGCCTTAAATCAATAAGCACCTAAAAATGAGTTCTGATTATGAAAGTAGAGGCAATAACTTAATGAATTAAATAACTAGGAATTTTAATTCTGGTATTACATTACACAGAAGTGCTAATACCTCTGTTGCTATATACTTAGCCATATTTTACTTCAGAAAGGACTTTGTCCTAATAAAAGATTTAATGATTATACAGGTTATTAAACAGTCAATTAATAATCAGAGAAGTAAAGAAGCATAAAATCATAAAAGATATTTTTAAAGTTTTATTAAATACAAATAAGCCTTTATAAAATTCGGTATAGAGACAAGTAAAATAAACTCTAAAATTAAAGTATACTATAGATATATTATCCATAATATATGAAAAAGTGTAAGAAATACTGGATCCAGGAAAATAGTAAACTGTCTGAAGAAGATACTTAGACTGAATTAAACTTAAGACCTAAAGCTTCACAAGAAAAATATAAGAACGTTTTACTCAGTAAAAATGCAGTCATACATTTTAATTAGGGTTTCCAAATTAATGCAGTTTAACTGCACAAGTGAACCAAATCTCCAGATGAGAACAAAGCTAACAAGCTATGTGCTTTTAAATCATGAGAGGCAGTTCATAGGTTGGCGTGTTAGACACAGATGACCTATATTTTTTTATCAGTGTCCACATCTGCAAACATTTTAATCTTGCACCTTAGTAGTCTCCACAACCATCACTTAAACATTTGCATCTTTAAACAACAAAAACGGTAATGGATCAAATTACTAGTCATTTCTCCAAATGAATGGAAGATGATAGAACCTTCAACTCTAGACCTCAGAATAAAAAAATCAGTTTTGTGAACAGATTTAACAATCTTGTATAGCGAAAATCTTGTATTACTAGCTACAAAACCTTTAAAGTGCTTCCTGAAACATTCAATAGGTTCCATGGCTCTGGGAACACTTTGCGCAACACTTGGCCTATTCCCCTCAGTCAGCATCCCACAGACAAAACAGAGGTGGCGACAGAATAAAAGGCACAATCCATGATCCACGATCATGACGTAAGCCTATACAACTTTATGCACCACAATTATGTAAAGTATCATTTATTTTCCACTTATAAAGGATTAGTATTTTTCTTTAATAACAGCTTACATAATTCCACCATCCAGTGCATTTTCGGATTTACACTTGTGGGTTGAAGAAACTTATGTCACGATTACCTGCTAGTAAAACTATTTTTTAAACATTCGGGAAAAACAACATCAACCACGAAGCGCATATCATTTGATTCCAAATTTAGATTCTTACATTCAAACGTATGACTGTGTCGTTTTTTATCGTTTATCAAAGAATTTCTGCGACAGCAAAGCCATAAGAGCAACATACACGGAAAGCATCAAGAACATACACTGTGCCTAGTTCTATTTCACAAATGTAAGCAATGAATGGGCTCCAGAGAACACAATGTTGCAAGAAATAAAAGCGGGCGCGCGAGTGATACCACTGCCAGCACACACAAGCACAGCTTCCAGATGTCATCTGACACACCTAGAGGAATCGCCTAGCCCCAACCTAGGGGTCCTACCCGCAGCTTCCTTCTGACAGAGGAAACTGAGGCCTGGGGGGGAAGCAGGAGCTCCTTCACACACCGGACCATCAGGTCTTCACTTCGTAGGAAAATTCGCTACCACTGGCTGCACGCCTGGTCCCCTCGGCGGAGGCAGCCGCTGCCAGTGCGCCCCGCACCGCCTCGCCCCTGACCAGCCCCAGCCCCACCTGCCCCGCTGACTCCGGGAGGGTGACGGACGGGGACCGTCCAGCCTCGGGGTCCCGCAGGCACTTCTCCCTCATCGCTGGGTTCCCCCAGTAAATGCACACTTTGCTCCACGTTCCCCCAAAAGTCGACGAGCCCAGCGAGCGCCAGAAACGCACGAGGCACCAGGCCAGCCACCGGGAGAGCGCGCAACACCGAGGAACTGCGGCGAGACCAGAAGGGCGCCCCGACCCGCACCCCGCCCCCGAGGCCCAGCGGGCGCCCCCCGGCCGGTCTCGCGCTCCCGGGAAGCGAGCAGCTCCGGGCGCACCAGCTCGCGGCCGGGCCGCGGCGCGCGGCTCCGTTACCAGCAGGTGGATCTCCCGCAATCCCCGCGCCGCAGAGCCGGGCCGCCGGCGCCGCCCCTCAACCCCGCGCCCCTCCGCGCAGCCGCCCTGCGCTCCCTGCGCAAGGCCGCCGCGCGCCGGACGCGAGAACCCCTCACCTGCCGCTGGCGTGGGCGCCTCTGCCCCTGCTGCCGGCGGAGCTGCTGTGGTCGCCACTGCCTGCGCCGCTGCCGGCCGCCCCGCCCTCCCTGCCTCCCCGAGACTCCGCCTCCGTCCTCCAGCCTGGCCGCCCCGCCCCCGGCCCCGCCCGCGACCCCACCAGCCATTGGCCGCCGGCGACTGCGCGCCGGCCACCGCGCGCCCCGCTAGCCCAGCCTCTGCCGCCAGTGGCCCGCCGTGCTGTCACTTAGGGGGCTCTGAGGTGCAGCCTATATAACTCTCCTGGGATCTCTCCCCCTGCATTTAGCATTACGATGAAATCTGCAGCGGCGTCTCGGGCTCGGGGTGTTCCCGCCGCCACGTCTGGCTTGAATCCTCCCCGCCTGTGCGGAGGCAGTTCCAGCTGCCAACAAAGGCCCGGGTGAGCCCTCGGCCTCCGCCTCGGCGCGTGGCCGGGCCACCCATGCGCCTCCTCTGCCTCAGCCTGGCCTCCTCCCCAGCATTGGGTCCCGTCCCCCGGCTGTCCAGCCTCGGCGGCAGTCCTGGTAACAAGTCTTGGCCTTCATCCAACAAGAGCTTCCGAGGCCCCGCGATTACAGGCGTCTGTCTCACTGACAGCCCCAGCGAGGCGCCTCTGTATCCCCAACTTAACCGACGAGGAGACTGGGGCTCAGGGAAGAATGACTTGAGCAACTAGGAAGAAGAAATACAACTAGGATTTAAATGCACATGCCACGCCATTCTGCCCCTTTCTCCTGAGCCCATGTCTCAGGAGAGACACCACTTCATAAAGTGTGAGGTTCACTTTAGATCAGAATAATCATCTGTAGAAAGTCTGGTGGGCTGCCCCTGTTTTTTCTTAATATTCACGTGTGCTGTGACTTACGCTAATACTAACAAGCCTTGGGCACATCGTCTTTTACTTACCGTTATACCAAGCACACTGATAAGATTTTAATTGTATCACCTCATATTTTAATACCCATTTTTCATTTGAGGAAACTGGAGCTCAGAAAAGTTAAAGCGTTTACGTAAGATCGCAGAGCTGGTAACTGGTAGACGTGGGTTCAAACACAAAGGATGTGTTACCTTCACTGCTACAATAATCCTTCCAACAACTCTGTAATATTTATAAGAAATTGAAGGACCAAAGATCAAGGAGACAACCTTGCTGCTACCAAACTGTCATGGTAATAAATTCTTACCAGAAAACAGTAATTCAAGCATTGAAAACTAATAGCATCAGAGTGTGTACCCCCCAACAAACTTCTTTTATTTTTTATCTCCAAGATAGCAGTAATTAATAATTAACTATGATACGCATGGTTTCTAGATTCTCCATCATTGTAAACTGTGTTTAAAGTCCAAAAAGAGACCTGTGATGTTCCTCCTCCATGGCTCTCTACCAATTTAGAGGGAGCAGACAAAAAGAGGTCCACTGTCCAGGGCTGTGGACACAACTTGGACATGACAGCCATGATACCCAGTGATGACTTTGCTCACTACTTAGAGGAACACAGAGCCAGGTTTCCTGTATTCTATGACAAAGATATTGCCAAATAGCAAGCTGGCAACAGATTTCATGACAGATGTAAGCAATAAACACTGAAGCCATTCCAGGATACAATTTTGATACACCATTGGATATAATGGATATATCTTGCCTACAATATCTCCTAGGAATGGAAGATCCTAGGTCAGAGAAGCAACTACTTTTTTTTTTTTTTTTTTTGCTATGCTGAGTGTGGAACCTGGGCCTCATGCATGCACAAACTACTTGTAAATGAAGAAAATATTGCCATTTGATGAGGGAGAAAGAGGATGCTCCCAAGAAATAAACTGAGGGCTTGAGAAATGATTTTGTTTGACAGATACAAACAGTAATTTAGGCAAAATGACCAAATCAGAATTCAAACACCTGTCTATTTGATTCCAGAGTCCTTACAACACTACACTGCACTGCTCTGAATAAATGGAAAGACATATTTCTGTCCACTTTCCCCCCTTTTTTCTCTTGGTGAAGGAAGGAAATGAATGCATTCACAGACATACTATAAGCAGAGAGACATCAGAGAAGAAAGGAAAATGGGAAGGACAAGCTTCAGTGACAGGCTCAACTGATTTATTCAGGAAGACAGCAGAAATTCCCAGTAGACTCTGGTTAGTTGGGAAACACAGCAGATGACAAAAAGCAAACTGAAAGAACCCACAGCCTTTCTTTGGGGGCCTTTGTGATACTTTGTTGCTACTCCAACTGGAAGGAAGTCCAGGTTTTCTAAGAAATCTGGCCATTCAGTATTACTTGTCACAAACTACTTACATGGTTGCTCAGGGAAGTATGGATTTCAATTAGTTGTCCAAAGAAACTGGAATATCTGGGAATATATCTCCTAGGTGTGGGTTAAAATTGATGATTCATCTTAATCTTGCAGAATAATCAATCTTGAGTTTTCCAACTATATTCATGGTGTCTATTAGCAATCAAAGGCAGTTGGTCCCAATTCCAACAAGTCCCATTGATTTCTTTATTATTATTATTATTATTATCTCTTCTATGATGATTTTCCTTCTCTACCACTCCCTTTCTGTTACTTCTCTTCTTCTACAGTTTCCCTTTTTGCCTTCTTGGACCTTTATTTCACACTGCAGTGGCACTGTAGCCAAAAAGTTTGGCCTGTAACTTCACTATTCTGTGGTCTGTCCCCACCAAGCGACTGTGTGGTAGTTGTTCTGCTTTCCACAAACATTTTCATTCTCCCACAAACTTTTTCTGAGTGCTGATGATTTCAGAGGCAGCTGGGACCTCACCACGGAGCACTCACCAACTCGCACGAGACATAGGTAAATAAGTAAACCACGAGACAGTGCCACAAGCACAGGGTGCTAGAACAGCAGAGAACATGGGGGCCATTAATCAGAGTCTCAGGCAGGGAGGGCTTCCTGGAAGTAACATTTGAGCTAAAAGCAAACTATACACAGGAAACCAATCTTTTCCTTTTATATCTTTGATGGTGAGTGGTTGTTGATGAGACCTTGCCTTCATCAATCAGTTTCCAAGAAATCAAGTACAAGTTCTCCACTTCTTTTCTACTCCACCCCCTCCACACATTAACAATCAAACTGGCATCACTTACGAGTGTTTATAAATGCTGTGATTCTGATGTCTTGCCTATGGGTTCAAGTGGGATCTTTGTTCAGTGTATGAGCTTCAAGAGGAATCACGACGGGGTTCTTCATGGCTTTTTAAAATGGTGTACATAGAGGTGATAGGAGACGTCTCATTTTAATTGATAGACAATTCATCCTATTCCTTTTATATAGAAACTATATCAGACCCAGAACCAGAGTGAGCCATACGAGTCTACTAATCCTTTGTTAGCTACAGAATGTTTCAGACACAGGGTACAAGCTCTTTCTGCTGTATAATCAGATAGGGCACATGAGAGCCAAGAAATTAATGAGAGAGAATGCAAATAGAGCCAGCCATCACATTTAACATCCAACTCTACATGGACATTAAGGTCCATCCAGGTGAAGAGAACTAAATTCTCCTCATTTTTAATTTGTATTCTTTCTACCTAGATTTTGCTCATTGAAAATACCTGTGAAAGACATCTTTCCTACTTTATATTCACATCATCGGGACAGATGTACCTATCAGTTCTTCAAACAAAAGTCAGGTTGTGTGGCTACCCAGACATGGAATTATAAGACCCTGCCATAGTTAAGTGCTGTAGCCAGGGATGTTTACATAATATGTAGGCATTGCTAAATTTTTTCAAGAAAACCCTAAAACAAAAGAGAACCCAACTATCTTGCTGGGAACAGCTCCCTGCCATCTGTTGTTAGAACAATCAGCAATGCTGTGTGGCAGCAAAAGTCTCTGCCATGATGGTTGAAGAGACTTGGAGGGATTGCTCGTCCCTTCTGCATTCCTTGGCCACACCACTAAAGCTGACTCACTTGTTTTTATTATATTTAATGTACACTCCGAAGGCACAGTGGAAGCGAATTGTGTGCCAAAGAATTACAGAGTTTGGGGATTTTTTCTTTTCCTTTGTGAATTTGGTACTTGTAAAAGATGCTACATCAACAGCCATGCATCTGAAATCCACCCATGCATAAAACAGTTTGAGGAATTCAACCTTGCCACTTTATCAATACATTTAAAATAGGATTAAAAGACTTACTACACATCCAAAACAATGAATGTCAATAATGGAGTTATGGGTATCCAGACAAAAGAATCTACCTTTTTATGGTCTCAGATTTTTCTTTAGCCTCTTCAGGCAACTGAACATCCCCTTACAAGCAAGTGTGTTAGTCAAGGTCAAGTCAGGAAGTGGGGGGATCTGGGAAGAGGAGGAACTGGAAGGAAAGGGTGAAGGAGAGTAGGAGGGGAAAAGAGAGGTAGGAACAAGAGGAAGAGGAGGAGATGGTTAGGAGAGAAAAGAGGAAGAAGAGGAGGAGAGTATGTGGGGAGAGGAACAGGAGGAGGAAGAGACTATTTTAGGTATTTTGGACAGAGGAATTATCATACAGGAGATATCATACATATCATACAGGAATTATTGTATTGTCCAGGTGATGGAAGGGTAGAAGAACATAATGAAATAGAGGACCTGAAGAGCAACAAGGAAGCAGGATGGATACTCAAGGACCAGAGCTGCTAAGGCCCCTGGGCTGGAGACAGAGCTTGCATCTGCTGATGTGCTCCTACAGAACTGATTCTGTTGGTTTGGAAGCCTGAAAAGATGCTGGCCCAGGCCGGATGGCTGGAGATACAAACTGCTCCAACCCCCACAGCTCTTGCAGTCATTGCCAACAACCTCCAGCAGCTGCCACACTTGTGGAGGGAGGCAGAAGCAGGAAACTTCTCTCCTTCCTCTGCCTTTTGATCCCCCACCTGCACCTCCTCCTTGCAGAACCTAACAGAAAGCCATCTGGTGTCTTAGCCTGTGAAATGCAGTCAGCTAACCCCAACATCACAGGGCAGACTTATCAAGGCAGCCCGAAGACAGAGACAATAGGTAAAATAACCAGCCCAGTGTCAGAATAAAAACCATGTTAGTCCTG